AACAGCAGCTGCTCTATGCATATATATATATATATATATATATATATATATATATATATAGAGAGAGAGAGAGAGAGAGAGAGAGATGCATGTCCGTTGCATCGTGTATAAACTGTTCATGGATTAATTGCGTATATTTGAGTGATATCTGCATTTGCATTTTTTAACAGATTCCTCTATTGAAAAATCTGTCAATTGGCTGCTGCCCTTATTCTTATTGTTGTTTAGTGCTGCTGTCGTCTGTTGTTTGTTCGTGGTTAGTACTGTTGTTTTCTTTTCTGTTGTTGTTGATATTATTATTCGTATGACTACCATTGCCCTTATTATTATTATTACCATTATTATTTTTTTGCTATTTTTATTATTATTATTGAATCCCTCACCAAATAGAAACATTTTTAATTTGTTTCTTCTTTTTTATTCTATCTTGTTTTATTTGCAGATAAAATTCCTCTTGAAAAAATTCCGCTGGTTGACGAACCCGAAATTCCGGCTGTACGTCTTTTGCCCTCAGAAGAGAGCAGCGACTCGCTGTTTTGTTTGTTTTTCTTTTAAAGATTTAAACTTTAAATGATATTTATTCCTGCTTTTTTTCAATTTCACCAGGCCAGCAGGGGCGGTGGTGTGATGCATCTCTTTCCAACAAAATCTAAACCCTAAACCCCGAAATACTTGTCTTTTTATCGTTCTTTCTTGGCCTTATATACACATATTATATATGCACATATATATATATATATATATATATATATATATATATTCACTATATGCCCTGTCAGCAACCCTAAAATAAGTGTATATAAATAAAACAAACAATTTGTTTGAACTGTGAGTAAATGCATAACGAAATGTTTTTCTTAGTAATGAATTCTTTTTAATTTCTTTAATTTGTTTGCATGACTGCTCAGGGCCCGAACTCGAAGGAGTCGATTCTTCTTCCTTTTCGCTACGTGGCTAAAAGTTATTTCACAAAAGACGAAAAAGATAAAAGTGAGGAGCTGAGGGGTCGCAGATATCTCAGCAATTTTTTTCTGCTGTATGCACACCTCATCCAATATACAGACAGGGATATTTAAATTTTGCTTTCTTCTCTTTCTCCTTCTACAAATATATATATGTTTCTTTATATTCATACTATATTATTTCCCTCCATCTCCCTCGTCTTTTAAATATATATATATATATATATATATTATGTAGATCTTTCTCTCTCTCTCTCTCTCTCTCTCTTTATCTCTATCTATATAATATATATATATATATATAAATATGTATATATTATTTGATGTGGTGTGCACCAGATACGCCTATTCTACCAGAAGGTTTACTCTCTTTTTTGTTGGAGAGCGGCGACTCTTCTCTTTTGTAATCGAAGGGAGACGAAGACAAACTCGCATTTTCTTTTGTCTGTTCTTTATCTCCGGTTTTAATTTTTCTTTCATTCATTTGCTATTATTGCAAACTGCATGCGGGAGGCTGCATCGATTTGTCTTCTGTGGTATTTCTTTTTGAAGTATTTACTGAAATAATATTGAAGAAATTAAGAAGAGAAGCTTCTTCTGTTTTTGTTTCTTCTTTTCTTTTTCTTTTCTTTCCGTTTTTTTTTCTGTCTTTTTCTTCTTTTGTTTAAAAAAACAAAAATAATATATTTCTGTCTCAAGTGGACAAGTGCATGTATTTGGTTTTGTGTACGAAGTGAGATAAATAAAAATGTAAAAATATATTTGAAAGTTTTTCTTCTTTTCTTTTTCATTTGTCTTTCACTCCAGTGTGGGGCGTGTGCCGGCTACAGCAGTTGCCGCGTTATGATAAATATTATTATTATTATTATTATTATTATTATTATTATTAATATTATTATTATTATTATTATTATTATTATTATTATTATTATTATTTATTCGTGCGGGGAGTTTGAATAGAATTTGAATGAAGAAAAGGTTTTCTTACGTGCAGCTCCTTCTATAAGTTTTAACGCAGCTGTCCATACACCCGGGCCCTGCTGAACCTCCCAGTTGTTTGCAGATTGGCATTCAACTTCACACACTTTTTTAATTGTGTCTTTTTGTAAGGCAGACATTTCTTCCCAGTGCTGCGGCGCGCGGCAGAGACCTAAGCAAGAAGAATATGCATTTAAAAGAATATTTCAATCAACTCATCGTTATTTATATTTATTACATATCTGCTGCATATATATATATATATGCATTACTTGTCTGCTGCATTTATATATCTATATATATATATATATATCTGCTGCAGCTTAATGAACAAATCTTTTCTTTCTTATTCAAATACCTGTGTACGAAGGCCCCGGCTCACACCAACCTGAAGTTATAAAAGTAATAAATAAAATATATTATATTATATTAATATTTTATTTGTTCACTTTGCATAGTTAGACAACAAAGTCATTCAATTAGTATTAAACTCTTCATTCGTAATCGGCACAAATACCTTATTATGTTATTATTATTATTATTATTATTATTATTATTATTACTATTATTATTATTATTATTGCTATTATTATTATTATTGCAATGGAGATATATATATATATATATATATACATATGGACAGAGACACCTCATAATATATGAACATATACACATAGTTATACCTATGTATATAGACATTTACATATAAATAAATAAATAAATATAAACATATATATATACATATAAGTATGTATATACATATATATATATGCACGTTATTCGTGAAATAGAAGAACCAAAGGCAATTATTCTTTAAAGCCCTGTGTATAACTCGAGAGTGCATGCAGCCTTGAGAAGAAATTATTACTTTAATTTATTTTAATTATTTTGTTTTTTTGTTTATTTCTCTTACCCTTCTTCTCCTTCATTCGCCGCCACCCCTTCGGGCATTGTGAGCAATCTTGGGGTGCCTGGCCTTTGAATAAACAAAATTAAAACAAATTAATTAAAAAGAAATACAATAAATAAAACTAATAAAATAAACTAAGAATTAACAAACAAAACAAATAAGACAAAACAAAACAAACAAAACAAAACAAAACGAGCAAAATAAACAAAGCAAAACAAACAAGAGTTTTAATAAACGAGCAGAGAGATGTTTGTTTTTCTCACCAAGACAGGGCCACCTCAGTTTGCATTCATTTGCAATATCTGCGGAGTGCAGTAAAAATAATAAAAATGATAATACATGTGTTGAGGTGTACATACACCCCAACCCATCACCAACAGCAGCAGCAGCAGCAAGCGCGACAGGAGCAGCAGCAGTAGCAGCAGCAGCAGCAGCAGCAGTAGCAGCAGCAGCAGTAGCAGCGGCAACAGCAGCAGCAGCAGCAGCAGCAGTAGCAGCAGCAGCAGCAGTAGCGCACCTCTTCTCTCTTCAGCGGAAAGGAAATCAAAGTGTCTCTTGTTGGGGCATTCTGCAGATGCGCTGTAGCCTGTTATGCAGTCTTCATAATTGAGCTGTCTGTACATTGTCTGCAGCAGCAGCAGCAATTGACCAGCAGCAGCAACAGCAGCAGCAGCAGCAAAGCCAGCAGAAAGAGCAGCAACGGAAGCAGGTTCAGAAACCCCAGCAGCAGCAACAACGGCACACCCACCAGCAACATCTGCAGCGCCATCACCAGCAGCACGAGAAGCAACAGCAGCAGCAGCAAGAGCAGCAGCAGCAGCAAGAGCAGCAGCAGCAGCAAGAGCAGCAGCAGCAGCAAGAGCAGCAGCAGCAGCAGCAGCAGCAGCAGCATTATCATAATTAAATGATTGACCTGGTGGTGCTTCACAAACTCCAGACCCCATCACGTCTCTCCAGCCAACAGGGCAGGGCGGCCCTGAGTAGTCTTCTTCACCTAGCAAAAAATATTTAAAAATAAATATTTTATTTGATTATTAATTGAAGCAGCAGAAGAAAAATAATAAGAAAAAGAAAAAAAAACACAACAACACAAGGTATTTACATATTGTTAGCAATATGTATATATATATATCTGTATATACATATATATATATATATCTATTATATATATATAGACAAATCTATAGAGAGAGATAGATGTACACATTAATATGCATAAATATCTATACATACACACACGCACACACACTCTCAGACAGAGAAGGAGAGATGGCGATATCTATATATCTGCATATATATATATATATATATATATATATATATATATATATATATATATTATAGATAGATAGATAGATAGATAGACGGATAGATAGATAGATAAATAGACAGACAGACAGAGAGAGAGAGACAGAGAGAGAAAGAAGAGCAAAGAAGAGTTAGAGCAGAGGTTTGCTGTCTGCTTACACACGATTTCGGCAGTCTGCTCTGCACACGGCCAACGCAACGCCCAGCGAATTCCCACAGCCAGGCGATCGCCCGCAGCCATCTTCGCCAACTCGCCGCTGTCTCGGTACCCGCCTTTGTAACTCTAAGCAATCTTATTTATCAATATATATATATATATATATATGTTCATATTTATACATATGCTTATCGTTATGTGTATATATCTGTATTCATAGATAGATATGAACGCATACAAGTATAAATATATACATATATATATATATATATATACATAAATATATATACAAATATATATATATATATATTCAGAACCAACTGGAATGCCCATGCATTTAAAGGTTAACTGGTGCTGTTGTTGCTATTTCTGCTATTACTGATGTTGTTGCTGCTGCTGCTATTGCTGCTATTGCTGCTATTGCTGCTGCAGCTGCTGCAATTGCTGCTTACTGGAGGGGGTTGGCATATCTTTTCAGCGGTCTTGAAGCTCCAGCCTTCAGGGCAGGTGTGCGTAAAGTCTTGGGCTGAGATATTTTAATATAAACAAAACGAAGGAGTTTACTTTATTACATTTGTTTGTTTTATGCTCTTTTTTGTCTTTGTTTAGGTTGGTTTGTGCAGTTTTATTCTTTGTTTATTTTGCTTCACTTGCTTAATTAATTAATTAATTTATTTATTTGTTTGTTTGATGTGGGGCACTTGTTTTATTTGCTTTATTTTTCGTGTATCTTTCTTATACACCTTTCATGACATATATACATATATATATATATATGTTTATTTATTTATCTATCTATATTAATTGTTTGTTTATCGCATTTGTTTAATTTATTTATTCTTTTTATTTCTTTCTCCGTCTCAACTTACCGCAGGCTTCATTCCTGCAGGGCCACTCCGCTCTGCCTTGCATTGAGTAAAGAAAGAACAAACAAAGAATGAAAATAAATAATATATTTTAATGCAATTGCTGCTGCTGCTGCTGCTGCTGCTGTCTTTTATTTATTTTCTTTTTATCCATGTCTTACATGCAGCAGCAAAGTCGGCCTTCTGCTCTGCTGTATACCCAGATAGGTTCTGGATATCACAAATAAATAAATAAATAAATAAATAAATAAATAAATAAATAGATTGATTGACAAATAAACGAATAAATGAACAAAGGGATAAGTGAATAAAAATAAAGAAATAATAGAAACATATTCACATAAACGAATACCCAAATAGACAAACAAATAGATAAATAAACAAAATGCCTGTGATATCTACTTGCCTGTGAGGTATCGCAGTGTCCTGAATAAGACCTTCAGAAAGAAAAATATAAAAAAAACGAAGAGAAGAATATAATAAAAGTGAAATGGCTTGAGGGACAGCTTACTGCGGCGCCACACAAACTCCGGTGTATATCCACTGCCCTGCATTAATAATTATTGAATTATTATTCTTTCGATATAAAGAATAATAATAAAAATATTCTTAAAGACATACGCGGGCATTCATGCGTGTAGTCTCTACCGCCTAGTTGATCGCACCGGTCCATCTTACAAGGCCAGTTGACCCTGCACTCTGAGTTATATAAATATAAATAAATGAATAAATATATATATATATATATATAGATATACAATATATAATTGAATGCATGTAATATATATATTATATATATACACTTATACATTCATACATTCAATTATGTATAAAATTATATATATGTATATATATACATATATACATACATATTATATACATACACATGAATGTAAATTTATATATATGGATAGTGTGATGTTACTGGTTTTCTGAATAAAGCCTTTTTACCCGTGTAAATATATTTTGATGCTTTTCATTTATATCACCATTGAAAAGGATGGGCTGCATATATACATATAGACATATATATTCACATCATCATATATATTCACATCATATATATTCATATCTTTATATATGCATATGTATGTATATAATATATATATATATATATATATAT